GCCCCCCAGCGAGCCCCGGGCGGCACGTCCCTCGGCGTGTGTTGGTGCAGCGGCTCCGCCTCCCCACCTGTCAACACGGAGTCGCCTGCCGCCTGCCCCTCGCCACCAGGAGCCGCCCCTGGCCCTTGGGGACTGCTCCAGGCGCCCTTCGGACCGTAGACGGGCCCTCCTTCCCACGGGGCGTCGCGCCACTCCTCTAGGACCTCCGGCGGGACAACAAGTCACAGGAGGCACGAACGCGAAATGCGGCGCCCGTCCTTCTGCTGCGACCAACATGGGAGCGGCGAGACGCAGTGCCAGCCCCAGGTGAGTGTGCCACGGGCTGCCCCAAAGTCCCCGAGGGTGGCACTAAGAATTTAAAAGCCAGATAGATTGCCTCAGGGCCATTGGGGTTCTGAGGTGTCAAAGGGTGTCTAGGGTTCTATAGGGTGCCAACCTCTTTTTATTGTTCTCTTTTAATGCAAACAGTCTGCGAGCTTAACTCCTTTCCCTTTGTTTTCCGAGCCCCTTAACGACAATATGCTAGGTAGTGAGCTTCTGCCAGAGAATGCAACAATGATAGTAATAAGGTAGATGATTGAATAATGAGTGATCGAGGAAGGGGGGGGAGGAAACACGAAGGAGGGATATTTCCTTGGCGTCCCTGTCCCGCCCCCGCTCTTTGGCTCCTCACCCGAGCGCATACTTCCCCTCCTCCCTTCCCCTCCCTTTCTCCCCTCTCGTTCCACCACTAACACCCCCCTCTTTCCCCACCCCCAGGAGGGCGGCGAGAGCACCCTGGCGCGCGTGCGTCGCTTCCTGGCCGTGTCGATGGGCGCACGGGCGGCCGGGCGCACGCCCACCACCCGCTGCAAGCACCGCGCCCTCCCCCCGGACCCCCTGCACGCCCCCGCCCACGCCGTGCACTCACTCCTGGCCGAGATGAAAGAGGCCGGCGTGGGCGTGCAGGGCGTGCTCGGGCGCCCCCTGGAAGACGTCATGGCGGCGCACGGAGAGGACGCCAGTGGGCATGGCGTGCCCGCGCTCGTGCACCTGCTCTGCTGCTACCTGCTCACTCACGGTAGGGACGCCGCCCGCCCGCTCGCCCGGGCGGTGTGCATGCGGGTGTGTGTGTGTGTGTGTGTGCTTGTGTGTGTGTGTGTGTGTGTGTGTGTGTGTGTGTGTGTGTGTGTGTGTGTGTGTGTGTTGTGAAAGAGAGAGAGAGAGAAGAAAGAAAGAGAGAGAGAGAGAGAGAGAGAGAGAGAGAGAGAGAGAGAGAGAGAGAGAGAGAGAGAGAGAGAGAGAGAGAGAAGAGAAAGAGAGAGAGATGTGTATGTGGGTGTGCTCTTACATGTGCATGTATGTATGTTTGCGTTTGCAAGTGAGCAAGTGGGCGTGTGAGTATTTACCTGCTGATTCACGGTGCACTCTTGGACGATGAGCTTTAAGCACACATTCATCTGCTGAATCACTGCATATGTTCTTTTTCTTTTCTTTTTTTGCAAGGTGACCTCAGACGCTTACGCATTTTGTGTAAAGGCTGAAAGTTCTCCATTACCTTGGTAAACATAAAAACGGTATATATATATATATATATATATATATATATATATATATATATATATATATATATATATATATTCATATATAAATATTCATATATATATATGAATATATATATATATATATATATATATATATATATATATATATATATATATATATATATATATATATATATATATATGAATACATACGGAAGCAGTTAGCACTAGAATACTAAAGATAGATAGATGAACTGGAAAATTCTAGAATGAACAAGTAAAGAAAAAAAAAGAAAGGATAGTTTTACATGAGAAAGTAAAAAATATTTATTTTCATAAAGAAACAGGCTCGCTAAAGTGATGACGATGTATGTGGTGATATATAAGTGATGTATTAGTGATGTATCAATAACATATTGCTGATGTATTAGTAGTGTTAATTGTTGATGTATTGATAACCAGTAGATATAGCGATGTATTGGTGATGTGTTAATGAAGCAATGATATATTTGATTTATTGTGGGTTCATTAACGACGATATGTGAAAAAAATATTGGCTAAACTATCAATATCGTAGTAAATTATTAATTAATGATGAGGTAGCGCATCGACGATTTGTTAATGACCTATTGATGATTTATTAAAGACCCAGTTGGCAATGTAGCAATGACTAATTGTCGATGTATTAATTACCCATTAACCGTGCAAAAACGACCGATCGATAATGTATTAATAAGCTATTAACAATGTTTCAACGAATATTATCAACGATGCACTAATGATCTATTGATTTTGCACTAATGATCATGCATTGTCGATGTATTAACGACATATCGACGATTTATTAATAATTTGATCTATTGGCAACGCATTACCTACCGACGACCTATCTGTGTCGACGACTTATCAAACAACCTAGTTACACTACATTAACGACCTACTGACAATAGTATGAGTGATGTCTCGACCCCTTTTTCCTCAGGCGTGGACTACGACACCCTTGTGAGCGAGGACTGGTGCGCCGAGGAAGTGAGGACGCGCCTGCTTCTCGAACGGGGCGCCGCTGGTCTCCCCTCGGACGCCCCCGAACCTCCGCCAGGTGAGGAGGGAGGGGAATGGGCGGGGGTGGGGGGGTGGGCGGAGGGGTGTAGGGGGATGGGCGGGGAGGGGGTGGCGGGTGGAGTGGGTGGTGGGTGGGTGGATGACGGGTGGAGATGGTGGTGGTGAGGAGGAGGAGGAGGAGGGGGGAGGATGATGATCTTGGTGGTGAGGATAGTGATGATGATGGTGAGGATGGGGAGGAAGAAGTGGAGAAGGGAGAGGAGGAGGAGGAGTGGGAGTGAGACTAGGAGTAGGACGATGAAAATTATTTTAAGAATGATAATGATGGTAATAATGCGGATGAATGTGGTAACGACTCTGAGAAAAAATAATGTAGATTGAAGACATACATATTTCTTATTTGGAAGGAGGGAGGGATGAAGAGGGGGGGATGGGGGGGTAGCAGAAAAACTAACTGAGTAAACCAACAGACAAACACAAATAGACAGACAGATAGACACATACCGACAGACAATTGATAGATAGATAGATAGGTAAATAAATAGCGAGAGAGAGAGAGAGAGAGAGAGAGAGAGAGAGAGAGAGAGAGAGAGAGAGAGAGAGAGAGAGAGAGAGGGGGGGGATAAACTGACAGATACAGCGAGGCACGGGATGAAAAATCAAGTATCTTGCCACTACTCTCTTACAAATGCTGTGCCAGGTCTCATTCAGAAGTTATTTTAGGAAACGCCACAATTAAGGTTTCCTGAGTACGAGACTTCAACCTGGGTGTACAGTGACAAAAATAATGGTGTAGTTTCAGAGAGATTTCATAATTGGTCTTCCTAATGGTTTATGCTCCCAATTTAGCCTTTTTTCAATCTCGGCTATTTCCATATTCTAAATTACACTGTGTGTGCTTTAAATACAAGCGTGCATCACGTAAAAATACGTCTTTTTAAATTCTATTTTGATATTTAGACTGAGTATTACCTAGAATATGATACATGAAGTAACACGTTAGCTTATTATACAAAGTTCCTCGGAAAATCACCTAGTCACGTTCGGAGCTAAAAATACATGTATGGCGAATCTGGCAACTCGCGGTGCCATGCGATGACACTATAAAGACAAAAATAAAAGGCACCAAAAAAATAAAAACACTACGAAGTGATTTTAGGTCAAGGAACTTATCTGATCAGCCTGGCACGAAAGGATGTCTCTGCCTTGCTTGCATGGTGGCACTGTGCATGCACGGTTATATTAATAAACGGGTAATTTTGGCACCTCTGAAGTCATGTTCTTGGAAGCGCGATGGATTGGCTGTACTTGATTCTCTCTTGTCACGTTGGCTCTTGAAAGAGAGTGGCATTTCAAGAGCAAAATGTGACTTCATAATGACTTTGTTCTGATTTGTAAATTATTGGTGGTTTGTAAGTTGCTATAATCCGCGTGTGGGTTGCCTTGTCATCAGTGTTTTACTGCCTCAGGCCAAGCGGGGGGAAATATCCAAAATTAAGAAATTATGACATTTAAGTAAAATAAAAAAAAGGAAATTAAAAAACGCATCCTATGCCAAATCAACCATTCAAATCAACCAACATTGTGGAGTATCTTAATTAAAAGCCAAACAACCATACTAATTCCAGCACACAACTAGGCGACAACGATTCTTTTTTTGACACTTAAAGGCTATAAAGACACAAGGCATAATAGACAAAATAATGGTAATAGGATTGGAATACATACTGCGAACAGAGTCGGATAAGCGGATTATTACGTTGTGTATAAAAGGAATACTTAAATAGCCACGGCAGGGAAGGCGATCCGATGCCACTAAAACACGTCCTCTCCCCACCCCTTCTCTTTACCTATTTTACATTCATTTCCAGGCCTACGAGTGTTCATTCATCTGCATGCCCATTTTAGCGCATTTATTTAACTTTAATCATTAACCATTAATGCCCATTTATCCTCCTCCTCCTCCTCCTCCCGCAGGCTCAGACGCTGCCGTAGCGACTGGCCTTCTGCGGCTGTTCCTGGACGAGCTGCCCCACGCGCTCATTCCTCCGTCAGCTGCGACCAAGATCCTGCAGCTCCTGACAGGTTAGTTGTCTCTGAGGATCCTCGCCGGGTTTCTTGTGGCGGTGTTGATGCTTCCGTTTTTTTTTTTCTCTTTTTTTTAAAGATTCGTTTTTATCACTCTTTTTCGTTTCGTTTCGTGTTCGTTTTCATTTTGTTTTGGATGCTCTTTCGATATCTGGATTTTTTTTCTTTATTTTTTTTTTTATTCCTGTTCTTTCCCTGGATATTTTTTTTCTCACTGTTTTATTATACTTATTTTTTGTCTGGTTTTAGTTCTTTTCTTTCTATGGATTATTTTTTGTCTCTTTCCTTCTCTCTGTTTTTCTTTTTTCATCCCTTTTCGTTCTTTTTATTCTCCTTTCCACCTTTTATTTTCGGATGTATTTTTCATTCAGTTTTACCCCTCATTCTCTCCACTATTTTTTTTCTAACCCTTTGTTACTCTTTTTGCTTCATTCTTTTTCACCCACCTCCGTTCTAAGAATTTCGCCAAATATAAAGATGCAACGCGAAAAAGAAAATCATGGTTGTTTTACATTTAGCAGGAAGCCTCCAAACCAAAGGATTTTTTTTTTCAGTTTAATGAGGTGTGATAGACCTGTATATATATATATATATATATATATATATATATATATATATATATATATATATATATATATATATATATATATATATATATATATATATATATAGGTATGTATGTTTTTAAATTTCATCTTCAATGTCACAGTAGTTTGATTCTTCCTTTGGGCGATTGCAGATAAAGGTTAGATGAGTCATAGATAAGGATGGACTCGGTTACCTAATGATTTTCTATCAATGGACGACTGAAAACTCGAGACTATCAGGCGGGTCAAACACGCGCCGCCACTCTCCTATGAGCGGCCCGCGGCACATTTGCTATTTCAGTCTTAAAGTCTGGATTACATGATTAGTAAGCCTGTTCTTCATCTTTAATATTATCACTTATACTCTTACAGTTTTTTTTTAAGTGTTTCTGTTTTTGTAATGAAAGAAATAGCCTTCTTCGTTTTACGTCAATCCTATGGCCGTTTCGTCGCGTCGACTCGGGGGTAAATGCGTTTGACAGCCCTGTTAAAAAATTCCTCTTTATATATTGTTTTTGTATACATCATATTATAACTTAGAATATTCCGTTTTTTTTTTTGTTCCTACACTAATAACTAATATTGGATGTCTTGCACTTTGAATTAAAAACCTTTTTTTATCATTCTTATTTGACACCCGAAGCAAAACAACATGCGCACGAAAGGTTATTGAGAAAGTACCATCAACTTCGAAATTCTCATATTACAAATTACAACTTCGTTCGTAGAGACTATCGGGAATCAGAAAACTTCTTTGGGATTCCAAGTTTGTTTTTTTTTCTACGGCAAGAGTAAGGAACAATAAACATAATAAAAACA